AAAGGAGAAAGGATTCAAGGATGCTGTAGGAAGTAAAGAATAAGGGGATTAATGGTGGTGGGAAAAATACAATAAAGATTAAATTGATGAAAAAAGAGTATAGTCAAGGATACTTGAGCAATGTTGGAGATGAGCACATTGACTTGCAGATACTTGGAGTAAAAGTGTTCCAGGAGGGAGGGATAGATGTTGCAAAGATCCTACTAAGAGTGAAGCATTCTTGGGGGGTTTGAAAATATGAAGGAAGCCAAACTGAAAGGAGCCGAGTGGGCAAAGTTGATAAACAAAAGAAAGTTGCATATAAACTTTTGCAGTGTGCTTGCTAAGGGTTGAAGAGCCGATCGTGGAAGATCTTAAAGATACTTTATGGATTATAACTCTACCCCAAATAAAATGGGGGGCCATATCAGATTTTTTAAACATCATCATGTGGTTGCCTCTCATGTGCCTCCAACTGGGGACCTGGCCAGCAATCCAGGTCCCCAACCAAAGACCTGGCCAGCAACCCAGTCATATGTTCTTGACTGAAAATCAGATAATGACCCTTTGGTTCACAGGCCAGCCACGGAGTCACACCAGCCAGGGCAGTTTTTTAAGCATGTGAATGACAAAATATGACTTCCATTTTCAAAGCATTATTTTGACTGCTATTAGAAATAATGTGCAGAGGGATAACTCCAGAATTAGGTCACGTTGTTAGGAGGCTATTGGAGTAATATAAGTGAGAGATAGATGGTGGTTCATACCAGGGAGATGGAAGGAGAGGAGATAGAAGTAGTCTGTTTCTGCTTGTATTTTAAGGTTTATTAATATTTAAATATTATTTTATTTTTTTCTTATAAAAACTGAGCTAGATTGAGATGACAGTGTTAAAATAGTCATGCAATGCTAAAACACTTCTTCAAAATGTTGCTTATACTCCACCTTTCAAGTATATTTGTATTATCTCACAAGTATATGGTAGTTGCTTGAGAATGCAGCATAAATTTTATGTCTCATTCTGCCTTAACATTACAAAGTACTCAGTAAATATTTTTGGATTGAGTTCCCTAAATTAAATAAAGAAAAGCTTGGGAAAGCTTTATGAAAATTTCCAAATTTGTTTACTTATCTTGTTTATTAAGTGTTCTGTGATTATAAAATGCGATTCAGGGTATGTTTAAGGACAGTAGATACTCAGAACTATTCTAATAAAACAATGTAATTGTAAAGGTTAATTCACTTAATTCTTTTATCAAACATAATATTATTATGGTGAGATAATTTAATATTCTTTGTATCCATGATGCAAATATTCACTTGAGACACTAACAATAAGAAATAACAATGTGAAAAAGAAAATGAAAGAAAAAGTGAAATATTACTTTAAGTGTAAACTCGCCCCATGAAAGAGATAAGTTTAACTTAATAAGATATTCCTGGGAACAATTAATACAGCATGCTTGGATACAGTTCTTTTCATAAACACATTAAAGTTAGTGTAATAAATTATAATTACCTTTGGTATTTTCAGGGTTTTTAAAAGATTTTATTTATTTTATTTTTAGACAGAGGGGAAGGGAAGGAGAAAGAGAGGGAGAGAAACATCATTGTGTGGTTGCCTCTCACATGTGCCATACTGGGGACCTGGCCAGCAACCCAGGCATGTGTCCTAACAGGGAATCAAACCAGTGACCCTGTGGTTTGCAGGCTGGTGCTCAATCCACTGAGCCACGCCAGCTAGAGCTGGATCTTCAGTTTTTAAAGTTTATGTTAATATACAGTATAGAATGACCAGAAATGTTTAATAACTTCTATAATTAAATGTAAAAAGTAAGACAAACCAAATAATATAGCTCCCAAATCTGACAACTAATTGAAAATGTGTACCCTATTTTTATCTCCTACAGACAGAAATATGCATTTTAACACTGATCTTGGAAAAGACACATTGTCCTAAAGTAAAAATTATTTGACACAAATCCTAATTTAAATTTATGAAGCGAGAATTAAGTTAACCATGTTAACCTATTTTACTTTTTCATTATTTTAATCTAAAGCCCATAATATTGGTGAAATTAACTAATTAAGGAATTGGAGGAGGTAAGGAATTATGCAGAAAGAACTTTGGCATAACATGTCTAATCGGTAGTGAAGCAAAGATTTTTGTTTGCATTATTGGGATAACCACAGTTTGCCTATACAATTTAGGTACAGTACCTTTACATTAATATTTAAATTTCAATGTGATTGAAACTAGAGTTTTTATATTTAAAAATAAACACAAAACAAATAACTATAAATTATAAGTTGAAGACATTTCGGCCATGGGACAAAATGATTAATAATAGGTGTTTGTAGAATTTCATGTAAAAAAAGTTGTTCTGTTTAAAAATACTTTTGAAACTTCCAGTCAAGATGGAGGTGTAGATAAACATACTTCACTTCCTCTCACAACCACTGACAGGAATTACAACTAAATCTCAAAACAAATAACACCCAGAACTGTCAGAAAATCAAACTGTATGGAAGTCTGACAACCAACGACTTAAAGAAGTCACATTTATGCAGATGGGTGGGGGTGGAGCCACAGAGATGGGGCACAGAGGTGAGGAGACACACTGTGGCACAGGGAGGCAGTAGAGGAGGTGGAAAGGGCATGGGTGGTCTCACATTCACATGTGGTGAATAAAATCTGGGAGGAATACCTTGGAAGTGAGTGATTCCACCCCAGGCCAGACCACACAGTCCAGGGTTCCAGTGCTGGGAAGACAAATCCTCATGTCTTCTGGCTGTAAAAACCAGTGGGGGTTCTGGCTACAGTAGAAATTGCTGACTTTTTAGGAAACTGCATCAAGGGCCTAAGCAGTCTTCAATCATATGCAAACCCACCCATTCTGGGATTCAACACCAGGGCAACAGCTGGGAGGGTGCCAGTTCTATAAGGGGTGTGGGTGAAGTGACTGGAAATGGGGCAAGTACTAGGCAAATCCTCAGAAGTTAGGCAGTGGCACAGTGTTCTGTCTGAGCCCTCCCTCCACACAGAGCCACGAAACAGTGAATCGGGTTGCCCTCCACTGGTAATTACCTAAGGCTCCTCCCCACACAATTTACAGGTGCCTTTTACAGGGAGTCAAAGCAGCTCTACCTAATACACTGAAACAAACACAGGGAGGCTGCCAAATTGAAGAGACAAAGAAATATGACTAAAATGAAAAAATAGAACAATCCCCCCCCCCACACACACAAAAAAAAAAAACCTAAACAAAATAGAGATAGCCAACTCATCAGATACAGAGTTCAAAACACTGGTAATCAGAATATTCGAAGAACTCATTGAGCAAGGCAACAACATAAAGGGAGAAATTAAAGTTACATTAAGTGGAATAAAAAAATCTACAGGGAACCAACAGTGATGGGAAGGAAGCTGGGATTCAAATCAATGACTTGGAACATAAGGAAGAAATAAACATTTAACCAGAACAAAAAGAAGAAACAAGAATTTTTTTTAAAAGGACAGTATAAGAAGACTCTGGGACATCTCCATACATGCCAACATCCAAATCATAGGGGTTCCAGAAGGAGAGGAGGAACATTAAGAAATTAAAAATGTATTTGAAAAAATAATGGAAGAAAATTTTCTTATAATTTGGTGAAAGAAATAGACATACGAGTCCAAAAAGATATACAACTCCCAAAGAAGTTGAACCTAAAGAGGATCACACCAAGACACATCACAATTAAAATGCCAAAGGTAAGATATAAAGGGAGAATCTTAAAAGCATCAAGAGAAAAGCAGAGAGTTACCTCAAAAGGAGTTCGCATAAAACTATCAACTGATTTCTCAAAAGAAACTGCAGGCAAGAAGGGACTGGCAGGCAGCATTCAAAGTGATGAAACACAAGGACCTATCTAGATTACTCTATCCAGCAAAACTATCATTTAGAATGGAAGGACAGATAAAGTGCTTCCCAGACAAGGTAAAGCTGAGGAGGTTCATCATTACCAAGTCACTATTATTACAGGAAATGTTAAAGGGACTTATTTAAGAAAAGAGCAAAACTATGAACATTAAAAAGGCAACAAATTCACAACTATTAACAACTGAATCTAAAAGTCAAATAAGCAAACAAAGCAAATAATCAGAATATTATCATAATCATAGATATGGAGATCTCATGGAGGGATATCAGCTGGGAGGGGGAAGGGGGAGAAGGGGGAAAAGGCACAGGGAATAAGAAGCATAAATGGTAGGTACAAAATAGACAGGGGATGTTAAGAATGGTACAGGAAATGGAGAAGCCAAAGATTTATATGTACAACCCATGGACATGAACTAAGTTGGGGAATGTTGGTGGGAAGGAGGGTAGTGGGTGGAGTGGGTCAAAGGGAGAAAAATTGGACAACTATAATAACATAATCAACACAATATATTTAAAAATAAAACAGAGGTCAGTGCAAAAATAAAAATAAAAATACTTTTGAAGTGTCTGCTCTTTTAAAATACAAGTTCATTGGATACTTTTATAATTTTTTCTTCTAAAAATTCACTTTTACTCCATAGAACAGAGTAACATTATACAAATCACAAAGCTATTTCAACAGCATCAGCTTATGAGGTTTTAAATTTTATCTATTTATTTGTTTGTTTGTTTTGCCAGTCAAAATTTAAAAGCAAAAAATATCTGGAATTTTCAGTATAAAGATATTTTATTTTTCAGTACCTAGTGGAAAATAATTCAAATGGAACCATATGAAAATGTTTCAAAATTCTTAACTCTCTCAGAAACAAAGAATATAAAGACTTTGAAATAGCTTTTGGCTTTTCAGAGGAGGCTAAGGTGCAACTCTCTTCGGGTTGTCCTGAATCTGGGTTCATCCGACACTGGCCGCCCCTACCTTGCCACTGAAGTTTGACCCTGAGATCAAAGCTGTATACCTGAGGTGCGTGGGTCGGGAGGGAAGGTGGTGCTGCATATGCCCTGTCCTCCAAGATTGACATTCTGGGTCTGTCTCTTAAAATGTTTGGTGATGATATTGCCAAAGCAACCAGTGACTGGAACGGTCTGAGGATTACGGTGAAACTGACCATTGAGAACAGTGAGGCCCAGATTGAGATGGTGCCTTCTGTCTCTGCCCTGATCATCACAGCCTTCAAAGAACTGCCACGAGGCAGAAAGAAGCTAAAAGCATTAAGGACAATGGAAATATCACTTTTGATGAGATTGCCAACATTGCCCAACAGACGTGGCACTGATCTTCCCCTAGAGAATTCTCTGGGCTGCAACGTTGTTGATGGCCACCACCTTCATGACGTCATAGGTGACATTAACAGCGGCGCAGCGGAATGCAAGAATAGTTAAAAACTACAAAGGAAAATATTTCAATTAAAGATCATTTTACAATTAAAATAACAACACAAAACTTTGAAACAAAATCTGAAATACCCATTTCTTCCAGTTTATTATGAAACATGTTTACTGTACATCTACATCTGGTTAATTCATTAAGTTTAAATGATCCCATACCCTCATCTATAATAATACTTTTATCTAGGAATAGGTCAAATTAGTTCAGGACATCATCTTTGTCAGGTAACCTTTCTTATAACTTCCCGTCTTCACTGAGACTGAAAATCACCCACAAGAAAAATCCTCAGAAATTTGCATCTGTGCTTCTCTAACTACATAGAACATATTTTATGCTTGTAGATATTTTTATATCTCAGACATCCCACAATTCTTCTTGCCAACATGAAATCTGTTTCACAAATTTTTCAGCAGCAGGTATGATAATGAGCCAGTTTTTATGTGAATTAATAATTTTTGTAATCAATTTTTAACTACAAATTTAAATTTTTAACATGTTTTAGTAAAGTATGTTTTAAATGGTAAAATCCTCTATCAAATGTCTTTATTTGGCCTACTTCCCATTATACTAAGCCTCTCATTTTAAGAAATATTTCTGAAAAGCAAAAAAAAAAGTTTTCTTCTAAAACTATGGTTTTTAAAGATGTGATACATTGAATGTTGCATTTTACTTTTCTTTTTAACTAATATCATTATAAATAATATCTTTAGTAATTAAATATAGTGAGATTGGCAAATCACTTTAAATGTATTATATTTACATCAATCATTTCTTTAGAAAGACAAACTGCCACAGCATAAAAATGCTACTTTTGGTTCTATAGCTAATTATTCCTTTAAATTGCCTGAGCTAACTTTTTTATATAACAAACTAAGCAAATATTAAATGTGTTCAGTTATTTACAGAGTGTAAGTTACCTTATTATTATTCCATTAAATGTCCATTCTTGCGAGAGTAAAGGATAATACTTATTACTGATGGGCTTACAATCTTATGACTGTATTTATTTGTATATGAACCTATTTTCCAATTTTATGCCCTGATGTCCTCAGGAAGAAGAGAAAAATTGTACTTAATCTTTACCACTACATGGAGAATAAAGTTTATTGTCATATTTATATTTTATCTAAATACTATACATCTTTCTGTAAAAAACATAGTTGGTTGTGACTTTAAATTTAGATATTTCTAAAGAAAACAGAGAAAACTTTTGACTTAAAATTTTAAAATATAAAGCAAGATTTGTTTATGATTTAATATTATAAACATTTGAGATATGCATTGGGTATATGGTGAAACACCAATATTGTAAGTTAAAGAATATAGGAACATTTTATTCCCATCACTTTAAATAATTAAATGAATCTTTAATATTCAAAGATGAGGTTTTAAAGAAACTCATGGATTTGCTGGTAGTTTTTATAGCTTTTTTAAGTAAAGATTTTATCTGTTTATTTTTTCAAGAGAGGGCAAAGGGGGAGAAAAAGAGGGAGAAAGACCTTGATGGGTTGCCTCTCGTATGGCACTCAGACCTGAGAAGAACCCACAGCCCAGGAATGTATCCGGACCAGGAAGAGAACCAATGACCTTTTTCTTTGCAGGATGATGCAAACCAACCAACTGAGCCACACTGGTCAGGGCTTGATAGTTTCTTTTTTTAATTGGCACTTTGACTTTGTAGACTTCGATATGGAATAAAATATAGCTTGCTACAGAGCAGAGGATGTTAGATTGAAAACCAAAACAAATAATTATTTAATTATTGTCATATCATTTGTTTTGTCTTTTGTTTCCAGATTCTAGGTCTGCTGCTTGTCAAAATGTTTCTTTCTTAACCCAATGAAATCTTAATTTAGAATAAAATCTTGCATTACCTAGGTTCTCAATTATATTTATTGATTAAATAAATCAGAATGAGAATAATTTCTTGTTATGTCATTGAACCAACAATACATTATTTATTTTTAATTGACTTTTAATTTTATTTATGTTGTTCTGGTGTACAAAAATGTATTATTTTTCCAGCTTATTGAGGCCAGTATTTCTAATAGACATAAATGAAAAATCCTCAACAAAACACTAAAAAACTGAATCTATCAGCACAAAAAAGGATTATACACCATAAACATCAAGTGTGATCTACTCCTGGAATGCCAGAAAGTTTCAATGTATGCAAATCCTAAAGTTGATATACCATATTGAAGGATAAAAATCATGTGACCATCTCGGTAGATACAGAAAAATATTTGACAAAATTCAACATTGCTCATGTGAAAAATTTTCATTGAATTAGGTGTATAAAAATATATCCAAGATAATAGAAGCCATCTATAACAAACTAACAGCTCACATCAGATTCAGTGGTAAAAAGCTGAAAGCTTTTTCTCTAAGATCAAGAAAAAGACAAAGATGTCCTCTCTTACCACTCTTATTCAATGTAGTACTGGAAATTTAGGCCAGCGCAATTAGTCAAGAAAAAGAAATAAAAAGACATCCGAGTAGGAAGGAAAATGTCTCTGTTTTTAGATGACACGATCTTATATATAGAAAACCCTAATCATTCATCAAAAAAAGAAAAAAAGAACTATTAGAACTAATGATTAAATTCTTTAAAGTTGTGAGATACAAAATTAATATACAAAAATCAGTTATGTTTATGTACACTAAAAATGAACTACCAAAAATGAAATAAAGAAAACAATCCCAGTGATAATAGTATCAAAATAATAAACACTTAGGAACAAATTTCACTAAGGAGGTAATAGATTGAAGAATCAATGAAAGAAATTAAAGAAGGCATAAATAAATGCAAATATATTCTGTGTTCATGGATTGGAATTTTAAATTAATGTTGTTAAAATGTTCATACTACACAATGCATTCTTTAATATAAACTACTGCAACCTCTTTTATGGCACTTAGGAGAATTGATGCAGAATCCTCGTTTTAAAGCCACTCACACCATGCAAACATTTTTTAGAGGAAAAGAGGTCAATTCTCTGCAAGCCTATAGGTCCTATCCCAGACCCAATGATATTTACTTTCTACAGCAAGAATTAATATAAATGGCATGACTAATAAATTACCTTTTACATTGTTGATGACTAAGGGACTGGGTGCGGCTGTGCCTACAAATGAAAGGTCATTAAAACACGCCCTTGGGCAAGTTTGGAATACCCAAGGACTGAGAAGTTGAGGTACCTGGACAGCCAGGTATGGAAATACATAGGTGTAAAACTCAAGAGTGAAGACTAACTGTAGAAATATTTTAGATTGCTTAAGTGACCGGGTTGAATTAGATTATTATTTATAATCTGCAGTCCTTCCCCCAATGTTATGGGAGGAAATATACTTCCTTCTCCATTATATAGGGCTTGGTCAAGTGACTTGGTTTGGCTCATAGAATATGGGCAGTTGGCACGGGTGAGCCAGTTCTAATTCTGGCCTTAAGAGGCAACAAGTTTTTATTGGCCATTTTTGCCCTCCTGCCTCTTGCCAAGAAGAACATACCTTCGAAATTAATGGTCTAAGGTGGGTGAGTGACATGTGGAGCAGGCCTGAATGAAGCTTAGAACCAATAGAGACAGGCCCATCTAAATAAGGTAATTAATTTCCAACCATCCCACACCTATGTGATGAGGGTAATAATTGGAGTTTTAAGTCACCGAGTTTGGGAACCATTTGTTTTTGCAGCATTGTGACATAACTGACTTATTCAGTGCCCCTTTTGTTATTTTTGAATTAGTGCTATCTTTCAATTGAATCACCTCAGCCTCTCCTATTTAATCCTGCCATGCTACTATTTTGAATTGTTACTTTTATCATACCTTTTATAATCAGAAATTGACAGGACTGTGCACATGGGGGGGATCATTCAATGGTGGTCCCTGGCATTATCATACAAAGGGAGAATCCAAATGATGGAGGGAAAAAGTGGCATTTAAGAATCTATTCAGCTGAGAAGAAAATATAATGCTTAAGGATTTACTCATAAGAGAAGCATGTGCAAATAACTAAGGGATTACTGTATGACAATTAGTCTCAGGGTAAGGACCTGTGAAAATAATGGAAGAGAAAAATTGCTAGTAGAGCTTTTATTACATGATATATTCACTTCTGACTCACTTTGAGTTCTCATGTTTTACACATATCCCCAAATTCTTTATAGGCATAACATTAAAGTAACTTACATCATTAAATATGACTGTACATTTCTTTTCCTTGAAAAAATATGCTATGATGTTTCCCTCTGTCTTTAACTTCTGCAAATTAGTTTGGCTTTAGTTCAAAAAAGCACCAATACTTATGCATTATTAAATTTAAAAATTCCTGAAATCATTTTCTAAATCCCTGGATATTGCTATTTTCAAAGAACATATAATCCTCCTGGCTATACTTCTTACAACATATAAAACTATTCTAAGAAATTATTTGACAGAACTAATCAATGTAATTGGACTATGGTATACCAACTTTGAATTAAAATTGCCCTATGTTTATTACAGAGTAGTTTAAATAATTTTTTAATGAAAAACCTAAAAAACTGAAACTTGGTTACATTTAGAACTTTTATTATAAGGTATTCAGTATTATAACCAAACTATTGTGTTCCCTAGAAAGGATGTCTTTAAAAACACATTCAGCTTCCAGATTCCTAGCTCTTTCACCGTCTTTTAACTTCTCTACTGTGGTTAAAGGCAATACCAATTACCTGATAATTCAAGCTTTGGATGATAGTTAGCCTTTACTCTGTTTTAGGAAACTAAATCTACTAACCAGAAATCCTTTAGATTTCTCCTTTTAGGTATTCCTCAGAGATGTTCTTTTCTTTTCTGATATTGTGCTATCTTAGATCTTTAGAACCTCTCCTCATAAACCCCCATAGGCCACTATGATGCTTGCACACACTTGGCATTCAGCAAATATTCACTGTAGAGAATGAATGAATGATTACACCTTCCCCCCAAAACTCCTGTGATTTCTCATTTTTATTGGCATTAAGCCATATACCTTTAGCACTGTCATCAAGCAAGAGCCCCAGGAAATTACTTAATTACCTTTGCAATCTCATCTCTTACTATATCAAACACATAACATACCTCATTTCCTTCTCTAGAGTAAAATTCACTCTCACAATTGCATGCTTTTATTAATATCATTCTCTTAAACTGAAATGTATTAATCTGAAATATCTTTCCCTAAATTTTCTATTTGGAAAAATTACATATTTTTTCTACGTGGCCCACTCCAACTCTATCACAGTAGTAAGAACACTGACTTTGAAGCCAGGTTTCTGGAAAATGTTACTCAGTTTCCTATAAAACTAAGCATAAACCTACCATACATACAGCACAGGAATGCTACTCCTAGGAATTTACTGAAGAGAAATAAAAATATATGTCATTGTAAAGAAGTTGAAAAATGTTTTATAGCAAATGTATGCATAATAGCCAAACCTGAATATAGCCCAGATATTGATCAATAGGAGTATAGATAATTATTAAATATTTATATGCTTATAACAGAATACTACTCATTGATGGCAAGGAATAAACTACTCCTACAAGATGGATAACTTCAAAAAGTATTATTCTGAGTGACAGAAACCTTAATAAAAGAGCACTAATGTATGATTTCATATATATGAAGTTTTAGAGAAGTAAAAACTAAGCAAAATGCAGTGTTAAAATAGTTTGAATGAAAAATAAATCCTTGTAAGAAACAGATTTTTGGGTGGTTAGTTAGTTGTACAGCAAGGCTAACACAAACAGCTAGGAAACAGATTTTTAAGTATAAAATAATATGCAGAACTCTAGTTTTAAAATTTGAAAGAATAAAGAATAATTTCTGGAAAATATCTAAAATGATGAAAGAGGAAGTAGAAAACATAAATAAGCAGAGTTTGTAAAGGCTCTTGGAAAAATACAAAAGAATTACCTCTGAAAGATTAGTTGGCCCAAATGGTTTTATACATTAATTCATTTTGGTCCTTCAAAGAAGAGATAATACTAAGAAGATATATACACAGTAGTCAACAATTTAGTAAAACATACAACCTTCCCAATTTATTTTGTAAAATCAGCATAGCCATAAAAACAATACCCAACAAAAATATAGCACTCAAAAAAGGAAGTAATTTAAAAAAAAACCAGTTGTGGATGGAAAGGCTTCCTGCTGAATTCAGTGTTGTCATTTGATATCACTGTCACTTCCTTTCTAGGTGGGCTTGACATTTCCAATAATCTGACTCTTAGGGTTCACCAATAAGAGGAACAGACATGTTGGCAGACAGAAGTAGAAGCTACCACTCTCAGAAGTTCACAGAGCCAGGTGCAGTGGCTTCTTGGAATTTCCTGGGAGATGGCAATCTCTACCAGCTACATGGCTTGAGGCGGAAGTTGTTAGCGGGTGCTTCTCTGATGCTCTGTCTATAGTGTTCTAGACCTTTACTCCCTGCCTGGATTCCTTTTGAATTTTTAAACTTACATTACCTGTACTGAATATCATATTCCTGTAATATTTATAATGATTCTGTTCTATTGATGAAATCAAAACTGATAAAAATGCTCATACCACAGTGGTATCATCTAGATATAGTGGAATTTTTGTCCGTTTTGGTTACTGTTGTATCTCAAGCACCTAGAAGTGTGCTTGTTTTTTGTAAGTGTCCAATAAATATTGGAATAAAATAATTCATGATTTAAAAATATAGTAAAATCAAATAAAAAGGAGGTTTTTTTTTCAGTATGATAAATATGCCAAAAAACCCACTTCAGTATGAAGAATGGTTTTCAGTTATCACAAATTGTTCAGCTGGACCAGTTGAAGAAATATTGAAACATTTTTATATACTGCTGTAAAGATACCTGTGCCCTGAGTCCTACAAGTACCTTCTTCCTGTTATTTCAGTCACCCTGGCTCCCTTCTGGGTCCCTGGTCCTCTCCATAATCAGTTTCCTTCAGAAATTATAGTTTTTGATTATTAAAATTAAATATTTTAACATCACCAATACTTGAATCCAATAAAAAATATGTAAGCAAATGGTGTCACCCAAGGAGAGTATGGAGAAAAAAAAGACACAAGGACCAAGGATAGAGTCCTAAAGCCATCAACATTTAGTATGAGGAGAATGTACAGAAGATGGGTAAAGAGTTACTAAATGTGTTGGAGGAAAATTGTAAGCATTTACTTTTATAAATGTCAGAGGGAAAATAACCATTTATCTGTCATGTTTTTCTCAAATGATTTTTGAAATTGTTGATACTGTTGGGAGTTTGTAAACCATTCTGAATGACTTGATTTTTTTTGACATTTGACAATTTAGTTAACCCATCCGCTACCTACAAAGAGGTCAGATAATCTAGGTACCTGCTTTGCTTCTACCTTTCAGCTCTTCATCAGTGATAGATATTTCGGCTGAACAGAACATTCACTAGATGTTTTGGCAATGTGCAGACTTTGGTTTCATAAAAAGTTTGAAACTACGTATCAAATAACATTTGATATGGTGAATTTTATAACAAAAATTTATTATAATTTTCATAATATATGGCATATATAACAATATAGAAAAACGAATTAATATAATCTCATAATGGGAGTCGACTTCAATGTTTTTCTATAGTATTTAGGTTTTAAAATCTTTGTAAGTCTTTGAATACTTTTCTGAACTCTAGTGTTAAAACTCTGGGAGTTTTTGCATCATATTGTCATTTTGAGGGATTTGGTGCTTAAAAGTAGGTCTCAAATTCAGAAAGTAGTTTAGTTAGGGGCAGGTTATTTTTCTTACAGTGTCTAACCGATGCCTCTGGCTGGTTGGACTCACACAACTAAAATCGCAGTGTTTTCTTCTGCAATGTGTGGCTCATAACTGTACTTACATCACAGGGGTGATGTAAGGATTAAGAAAAATAAGGCATATAAATTATTCTACATATTGAAAAGGCACATACTTAATGTGGAATCAATATCTGTTAATAATATAAAAAGTACACTGTGGCCAAAAAGACCAATCTTCTTTTCCTTGCAGGCTGAAATCTTAGAAATTCTGCTCTTCTCCTTCAGTGTGCTGCTTCCTCCTCCCACAGGAAAACCGTGTGCTCACTCTTCCACTGTGTGACAGAGAAAGCACTCAATAATCATTAGCTAAAAGAAAGCAATTGAACATTAATTTTTTGAAGGGTTTTTATTATTAAAATTTAATAATGGATTTTTTCTTAACCTCTGTACTGGGGTTGTCAGACTCTCCTTTTGGCATCTTTCCACCTAAACTTCTTATTTTCAAAGGTGACTAGCCCCTGAGTTAATTCTCAATTTTCCTCCTGTTAAAAATCTAAAAATTCACAAGACAGGATGAAAAAATATGAACTCTGAAGCCTGCTAGATCTGGGTTCAAATCTCCATTCTGTCATTGAAATAGGTGTGTGACTTTTTGCAATTTTTTTTCTATCACCTCTGTATAATCTCTAAGTTAGGAAAAAACACCTCAGTAATTAATTGAGAAGATTAAATAAACCACTTTAAAACCTTAGGTACTTAGTGGGAAATTCAGTAGCTGCTTTCTTTTATTTCTCTTCATTGGCATCCAAACATAAATTAGTATTGGTCATTTTTAAGGGCATCACTCTGTAAACACTTCGCAACATGGGAGTTCTTACATGCACTTGAGATCGGTATTAAACATCAGTGCAAAAGAGTGAGGGAGGAGGACCTGCAGACATATAGGCCTTCTCAGTACTACTGTAAACCATTCCTGCAAGCCTGCAGGAAACTTTGTTTTCCACAAAAAATCTTAATCCCGATTATGGAGGACTTATTTTCTTAATTTCTTCTTGGCATTGGTATTAAGTTGTTATTTGGTATAATTTTCTCTATATCCAAATATATATATATGCACACACACATATATGATATATATCAACACAAATATTTGCCTACCACCTATCACCAAAATGGGAATAAAAAGCAAATTATGCATTATGTTTTGTAAGAGGTTTATTGTAACTTACTATTTTCCTGTGGGGCATCTATCAGAGTATTTTACCCATGACAAGGCAAGGGCATCCAGGGGATCAAAGGTAATTTAATTTAAAAAAACCTTATTTTAAAAGTTGGACTGGAAGAGACTGAGGAAAAAAAAAATCTCTCTTGGCTGCCTTGAAAGCTAAGGAGTAGTGCAGTGTTCTGACCTGAAATTTAGGTCTTGTGATTTCTTTCCAGGAGATTTTTCGCTACACACACAAAAAAAAACCTGTCTGCAATGACCTTATTATTTAATTCAATCTTAATTGGATACAAACCATTAAAGTCTGTGAGATTGTTGGAAGGTCTAAAAGTGCAGAGGTGTTTTAAAAATGGTAATATTAGTCATCTGGGAGTAAAAAATATCCTTTACCAAGTCACTGAACCTTTCCCCATATGTATTAGGTTCATTCTGCATTTCTTTCATATTTTGAGCTTCAAGGATATGAAATCTAATCGCTTGAGCATATTCCATATTTAGGGGAAGATTCAGCCATTTTCAAAAGGAGGCTAAGCTTTGTGCTCAGTGAGGTATATTTTAGGAATTCTCCACGTGGCTTAATTACGATTATGTCTCGATTGCTACAAGAGGTAAGTCAGTCTTAAGACCTTGTAGTGAGACCCCTCGGAGAAGAGTTGGAAGCTAATGGAGCAGCATAAGGTGAGGACCAGCTCCGGAGACAGTCTTTCCTGACCTGTCAGAATGACTGAGCGGTCTTAGGCCACGATTTGCAGGAGGAACAAATGCCCAGAGTGCTTTTCTTTTGCAATAGATGTACCGGTAAATGGCTGGCTTGGGGAGAAAGCTAGGAAAAGGGTTCTTTGAGTCACACACTTCTAATCCCATTACCGACTCTCAGAATAAGCAAAATGAGCGGTAAAACCATTTCTATTGTTATTCTCAGTAAGAAAGGCGGGGTGGGGCAGCTGGTGCCTATCCTTTGGAGTGGGTTGGGGAGGACGCAATGGCTAGCGGATTTATTTTGCTTGGCTTCGGGGCGGGCTTCCCAGTCCTCCAGTCCCGGCGGGCCCTGCTGGATCTTGGAGAGCGCGCGGAGCAGCGGCAGGGGCCGCGGCCACTGCGTCAAGGGGCTGCGGGGCTGGGCAGTGCGGCGGCCAGCCCGGAGTCCCGGCTCCCTCCCCCCACCTCCCGCAGCACCCCTCCCCGCAGCCTGCGGGCGGCCGCAGCACTGGCGGGCCGGGCACGTGGGCGCCTCCGTCACTCCTTCACTCACACTCACTCACACCCGCGCTGCACTCGTGCTCTGTTCCTGGCCAAAACACAGGCGCTGGCTTGTCCCTCCGTGGCAGCTCGCAGGGCAGCGACCCTTCCACCCGCCCCCGGGAGCCGCCCTTGGCAGGCAGCTGCTTCTCTCCAGCCCGCTCCTTCAAGGCCTCCATCAGAGCCACCTGGACTCGACCCGCTTGCAGCAGCTACTCCTGTCAGACGCGAGTCGCCCAGAGGAGCGGGTCAGGCAGGCCAACGGTAACGACTCGCCCCTACCGTCCAGGGCACGGTTTAGGTGGGGTGGGCTCACCCCAGCAACCCTGGGGGCCCAGGCGCAGGGGACTGGAGCGGAATCGCTGTCTAGATCCCGGGAAGGACTCGAGTTGTGTCCTGAGATAGGGGCCGGGAGGGAGACTCCGAAAAGGGAGACCCTTCAGTCCGTGCGTCCTGCACCCGCACACCGCAGGCGGCTGGGAGGGGGCAAGGAGCGGCGCCTAGTGGGAAGCTCTAGGGTCCTAAGGTGCCGCTACCCTTCTTCCCGTCTCGCCGTGGAAACTGCCCGCAGCATCCCCGGAAGACTGGCCGTTTCAAAGTCCAGCCTGGGGAGGCTGAAGGGTGGGGTCCGACCAGGGCAAGTCCGAGAGGAAAGTTGGGAGGGTCGACACAGCGAAGCGCTCCGGGGGTTCCAGCCAAGTTGGAAGCCCGTCCCTCTGCGGGTGGGAGGTGGGGCGGGGAGAGGAGCAGTCTCGTTCCTCATTCGCTTCTGGTTGCTTTTGCTAGTGCCCGGAACGACCACCGCAGGCTGTGTGTTTTCACGTGACCCCAATTCCCTTTTGCGGGAGCCATCCTGCGATAAATGTTTCTATAGTGGCCCCTCTCTGCTCGAGGCACGTGGCTGCAGAAGAAAGCACAGCCCGTGCGTCCCTGCGCATCCAGGAATTTGGGAGAGTGGCGGCGAGGGTGGTGTTACACGGATTTTAAAGAGACGATGTGAGTACCTGGAAACCCAGACCATTTACACCATTTCTCCGTTTCATCCACATGGCTGGTGTATCCGTGGCCTGAGAGCGGTGTTGAGTATAAGAGAGCCTTTTATGTCCTTACAGGACGGCACACCAGCCTTATAAATATGAATGAATTACAGCGCTCGAGACCTCCCTGAGACAGTGTCACCCACTCGGTCTCTGAGCCCTCCATCGCTGAAATTCTTTGCCTTTAAAGCAGAGAAACTGTGTTCGCGCGCGTTGGCGGAGAACGAAGCCCCAGGCTCACGCTCTACCTCCTTCTCCCCACATTCCCCTTCCCTCCAGAGGAAAAGCCGGAGTAAGGCCGGGCGGGGTCCGCACTCGTGCGTGGTGACGTCAGCAGTGTTTGGGTGCTTATGCAAATGACAATGCGACCGTTCCTCCTAGTCCGGCCGTTTTTTCTTCCAGGTCTTAAAGGTAGACCTGGTGTCAGTGGCACCTTCTGCTGGGTTCGCTACGCAATACCGAAGGACTGAAGGGTTTGCTGTGTGTACTTCATTTGAGTTCCTCATCACCTAGTTTTTAAAGCTGATCTATGGTTGTCAGTGACCGTTTGCTTTCCCGGGATCCCGGGCCATGCTTTGGGAAATAGAATTTCTGACGAAACGGCTCCTCCCAGCTCCTTCCCCCACCCAGCCCGGTTTCTGCAAGAACGACGCTGAAACAAAATCTTTGCCTTCGGCGCTTAGTACTGGGCTTGACTTGTAATCAGTACTTAACGAGTACTTGATGATGATTGAATTTTCCTTGAAGAGTTCGTGCATTTCTCTCTTTAAGTTTAGAGTATTTAACCATCAGAGTCGTCTTTTTTTATTTCTGTGAGGGTGAGTGCCAATTGCTATCCTCATGATTAATGATACGTGCGTATTTATTGGAATATTCAATACATTATCCCACCAAATTTTAAATAGAATTCATTGATGATTTTTCTCCAAATGAAGCATTCAATGTATGCCTTTTTTCCTTTTCCCTGAGACAGGCAGACAGTAACACTGTTTTGAGAGGAAGACAATCTCTTAACTGTTGGCACTTTTTTTTTTCTGATTGCTGTTATATAGCTAATTCAAGAATTCTAGTATGTGTTACTTAAGATATGGCATTTTAATGTCATTAATAAAAATTTTATTCATGTTTCTAGGAAATGAGTGCTCTATCATTCAATTGCTAAAGTAAGTGAGAAATACTTCCTTTGTTCAGGCTGCCATAACAAAATACCATGAGCTGAGTGCTTTAAAAACAATACAAATTGGTTTCTCACAGTTCTGGAGCTTAGAAGTCCAAGATCAAGGCACCAGCACATTCTTGGTGTTTGAGGAGAGCCACCTTGCTGATTTATAGATGGTGCTTCTCACTGTGTTCTTGAATGATGGACAGATCTAGTTAGCTTTCTGGGGTTTCTTTTATTACTTCTCAAAGGACTGAACTCCTCACCGCATGGGTTTAGAATTTCAACGTATGAATTTGGCTGGGGGGACACAAACATTCAAACCACAGCAAATAGTAAAGAATTTTTTAAATAATAGCTATTCTAAATACCGATAATCAGATTAGATGCCTATTCAATTATTGAACATTTAAAATAAGTTGGAATAATTACTAAAACCTAAGTTATAATTATAAAATATACATTTATAATTGATTTACCCAATGATCACAGTTTAAATTTTACTCTGGGTATGTTAGGAAATATATTTGTCTTGTCATAAAATAAAACTTGTGTATGAATAGGCAAGAAATCTGTATTCTCTGGAACTCTGCAGTTGTCCTCCGAGTAATTAAAAAATCATTGACTTAGAATGATAGACTTGAAAGATACTTTGTTGATTATCAAAAGCTCTGAAAACTTTTAATTCTCAACTCCTTTTACAGAAGATTTTAACTCCTATTATTACATACATATGCATAATTGAATATAATAATATATTTCTATTCAGAGTATATTTTAAAATAGTGTCTGAGCAGATGGCTTTGTTAACAAAAATCATGGGCATAGTCTGATGCATGAAAACAGTTAAGGTTACATGGCAGGAATCTTAAGATTTATTTCCAGTTTTTCCTCGTATCATAAAGCAAGTCCTGTCTATTCTTCTTGACATATTCAGTAAATAATATTAATAAAAACATTTATTGTCTTAAATATTAACTTTGGCCAGTAATGATTGTCTCATATTTCATGGTGAAAAATAAACTCTGTATACTGGAATGCAGGAAGGTTTTAGATAAATGCACAGTATCACTTGAGATATGACAGTGCTGTTTTCAGTCTTATAGGTCAATTTATTTCTTTGTGATTAATACATAGGTATCCTTTCACATAAAGTTAATTGATTAGTATCTTTGAGTAGAATGCTCATCCTGGGAGTTTTTTCCTGTTTCAGATTGGCAAAGATCAAAAAGATATGGGCAGAGGGAAACAGGGACTCTCATACATTGGTTGTGGTAGTACAAATTGAGATAACTTTGATAAAGGGCAGTATTTACCAAAATTATAAAAGCATATGCCTTTTGACCAATCAGTTCCTTTTCTAGAAATCTATTCTACAGATATGCACATGCCAGATATACAAAGTTAGTAGCTTCAACATTGAAGCAAGTGATAAGAAATGACCTGAATATGTGATGTGTCATGAACTGTCATATGTCCTCACTTAAAAAATGAAAATAAAAAGCAAGCAATTGAGAACAAAAGTTTTGGAAGAGTTTTTAAGTGAAAAATCAAGATGCAGACATATGAATATAATAACAGTTGTATAAAAAGAAATAGGTTGGGCAGATGAGGAAAAAATGCATATTAACTTGAATATACGCATATGTGTGGAGAACTTTGTTTACTTATAGGAAGATATGTGAGGCTATACTAGGGGAAGGAGGCGAGAAGATATTTTTCACTCTGTGCTCTTTAATACCACATTACTGTATTACTCAAGTCAAAATGCGGAGTAAAAATATTCTAAAGTGAAAATAGCAAAAATCCATGGGAGAACAGTGTTCAGGCATTAGATGCTACCGAATGGGATGATTAAAGTAGAAATAGAAAGGTGGGTATTTTGGCTCCATGACTGTGGTTTCTGAATTTACAGGAAAGTTTCCTTTTGACATTCTTAGTAATAAAATTATGTTACAGCAGCAGATGGGATCTTGTGTGTTCTTTAGTCACTTTTCTGCCAATGTGATATATATCAGAATATTGACATTGATAGAATCAAGTTACTGAACTGTTCCATCACTATAAGGATTACTCTGTTGCCCCAACCTCTGAACTCCTGCTAATCAATAATCTATTCTTCATCTTCATTACTTTGTCATTTCAAGAATGTTACAGAAATGGAGCCATAGAAAATCCAGACTTTTAGAATTAGCTTTTTCCACTCAGCATAATTATCTGTAGATTCAGCCAAGTTATATGTATCAGTAGTTTATTTGTTTTTATTTCTGAGTAGTACTCCGTGGTATGGATTTACAGGAATTTGCTTAAGCGTTCACTCAGGGAATGACATCTGGGTTGTTTCCAGTGCTTACTGTACACTCCCTTACAGGTTTATGGAATACAAGCTTTCACGTCTCCAAGATAAATGCCCAGGAGTGCGGTTGCTGGGTTCTATGGTAATGGCATGTCCTTGAGAGCTGTAGCATTTTACATTCTCATCGCTTATGTGTGAATGATCCAGTTTCTCCGCCTCTGTGCCAGAGTTTGGTTGTTACTATATTTTAGTCATTCCGATAGGTATGTGACATTTCACTGTAGTTCTAATTAGCATTTTCCTGATGGCTAATAAGGTCAAACCTCATTTCATCTACTTATTTGCCATCTAGACATACTCAGTGAAATGACCCCTTATGTTCTTTGTTCATTTTCTAAATTATTTTTAATTGCTGAGTTTTGTTATTTATAGATCCTAAATATTTTTTCTCCTATGTGTGGTCTGCAAATATATTTTCTGTCTTTAGCTTATTTTTTAAGCCTTTTAATAGGGTCTTTCACAGAGGGAAAAACTTTGAATTTCAAAGTCCCCTTTACCAATTTTTGCTTTAATGAATTCTGCTTTTAGTGTCATGTCTAAGAACTGTTTTCTTATCTCTAACTCTCAAAGGTTTTCCTCAATGATTTCTTTTTAAGAGTTGTGTAGTTTAATATTTTATATTTAAGTCTATCATCCGTTTTGTTGTTTTTACTTTTAATTTTAAAAATATATATATTTTGTTGATTATGCCATTACAGTTGTTCTATTTCCCCCCTTCATTCCCCTCCACCCTGCACACCCCTCCCCCACAATTTCCCCCTTTAGTTTATGACCACATGTCTCAAGTTCTTTAGATTCTACATTTCCCGTACCATTCTTGCCCTCCCCCTATCTACTTTCTACCTACTGTCTATGCTACTTATTTTTTGTACCTTCTCCCCCTTCTCCTCCTCCCACTCCCCTGTTGCTAACCCTCCATGTGATCTTCATTTCTGTGGTTTGCTCCTGATCTAGCTGTCCTCTTAGTTTGCTTTTTTAAAAATTATAGTTTATTGATTATTCTATTACAGTTGTCCCAATTCCGCCCCCCCTTGCCTCTTCCATGCAGCTCCCCCTACACCCTCAGTCAATCCCCACCCATTGTTCATGTACAAGGGTCATGCATATAGGTTCTTTGGCTTCTCCATTTCCTATATTATACTTTGCATCCCCATGGCTATTCTGTAACTACCAATTTGTACTTCTTAATCACCTCACCTCTTCACCTGTTCCTCCACAACCCCTTCCCATCTTTTTTTTTAGATTCGATTGTTGATAGATATGTATTTATTGCCATTTTATTTGTAGTTTTGGTCATCTTTTGCTTAAATAAGTCCTTTAGTTTTCTCTTGTCTGGGAAGTTACTTATCTGCCCTTTGATTCTAAATGATAGCTTTGCTGGATAGAGCAACTTGGCTGTAGGTCCCTGCTTTTCATGACTGAATGTTTCTTGCCAAACCATTTT